GGATAGATGGATGGGTGGGTGGGTGTGGGGGTGGACGGACCCAGCAGCTGCGCTGCTTCAAGCATGTTGTCTTTTCATATGTGGAATCGCGAGCAGCTTGAGCAACCGGGGCGGCAGGGCAGATGGGAGGTGCCGAAAGGCGGCTGAATCGCCGTCAGCTGGGGCCGCAGGCGCCCAGCCTCCCCTTTGCCGCAAGTGGTTTCAGCTCTCAAACCCACCAGCCAGAATTCAGCCAGTGCCCCTTGACCCCCCTTGCGCCCACCCTTGCTGGCTTTTGCTGTGCTCCTTTCAGGTGCGCGAGTTTGTGCGGCACACTGACGCCACGTACAGCCTGGGCTGCAGCTTCCTGACCCACCCGGACTTCAACGCCGGGCTCAAGGGATACCTGGACGGCACTGGGGTGCTGGCGATTGTGCTGGGCACACGCAGGTGCTTGGTTTGCGTGTATGTGTGTGCATATGTATGTGTATGTGTATGTGTGTGTGTGCACATCCACGCCTGTGACCACGTGCACGTGCGGCTTTTCCTGGCTCAAATTTGTGCACGCAAAGCCAGGTCCCCCCCCCTGCGGCCCCACTGACTGCCCCGAAACCCGCCGAAACCCCCCAGGGGCGACCCCAATGCAGAGGGGCAGGAATACTTCTGCCCCAGCAGCGAGGGCTGGCCGCCCTTCATGCGCATAAACCCGGTGCTGGACTGGACATACCACGACGTGTGGACGTTCTTGCGCGCCGCAAAGGTGGGGCGGCGCGCTACAGGCTGCTGAAGTGCGTGAACGGATGCGGATTTGCAAAGATTTCGGCTGGTGACAGCTCAACGATGGGACCCTTCCGGCCTCGCCCCAATCCAGGTTCCTCCCCCTTCTCTCCGGCCTGCACCAGCGCTGCACCGGCGTTTGAAAGACAGCATGACGCGACCCTCGGGCCCCTCCCGCCACCTCAAATCCTGCTCAGGTGCCTTACTGTGACCTCTACAACCGCGGCTATACCTCATTGGGCGGCGTACACAACACCCTGCCGAACAGGTGCCGGCGCGCTCGTTGTGCGGTGGCGCTGCGACCGTGGATCAGCCAAACCCGCCTTGCCAGGCTTTCTTGCGCACACTCCGCCCATCTCCGCTCACCCGGTCCCTGCCTGTGGTACCTTTGTGCACGCCTGCTTTGAGCGGCGCGGACAGTAGCTACCTGCATCTCAGTCAAACAAGTTCGATGCTTCATAACCCGATGCCATGACCCTGGATGGCTCCACTTGCGACGGCGGGACGCCGCCACAATCCTCACCCTGTTCCTGATTATGTGTGCCACCTCAGCGCCCTGAAGAAGGCGGACGGCAGCTTCGCGCCCGCCCACATGCTGGCGGACGGCCGGCTGGAGCGATCTGGGCGCGCGACCAAAAACGTGAGCGGCTGCCGGCGGCCGGCCGCAACCTTTTCGTCAGCGCCGCCTACACCAGCAAAGTCGAGACACGTCCCTGCTCTTAACAGCCCCTGCGCTACATGCACCTGCACTAATCGCCCCAGTGCCAAGGGCCACTGCCCTCTGACTCACAGGCCAGCCCCCTCCCCCGCCCCCGCGCCCCGGCAGCGGCGCCCCGACTCGCTGCCTGCCACGCCCGCGGACGTGGCGCCCTGCATCACTCTGAGCGCGGGCATCGTGGTTATTGGGGACGAGATCATATCCGGCAAGGTGACCGACTCCAACACGCCCTTCTTGTGCAGGTGCGTCCCCTGGCCCCCCCCTTCTTGCTGAGGCCCTCACCGCATAAACGGGGGCGGGCTGCGCCGTGGGGCGCGACTCCCTGGCGCTTGTGTGTGTTTCCCTGCATGCGCGTGCACACACGTACATACATGCACACACGCAAACGAACACACACGCATACACACACACACACTCACAGCACCACTCATCACCCACCTCAAAAGGGAGCTCCGCGCTATTGGCTGGAGCGTGGCCAAAGTGGTCATGGTGCCTGATGAGGTGGCCGCCATCGCCCAGGAGGTGGCCGCCCTGTCCAGGTGCGCCGCCCCGCCCCCTGGCGCCCCCTTACGCCTGGCATCCTCCCTGCCTGCCTGACATGTCTGCCCTCGCCTGGAGGCCTGTCTCAAAAACCGCCCCCACCGGCTGAAGCCTATGCTGCCTGGGAAGCGGAAAGAAAGCAACCCATTTTGCCAGTTGCCCAGCCCTCGGACGCAGCCGAACGCAGTTGCTCACTCGCCCCCCGGCCCCAACCCCGCAGCGAGGTGGACGTCGTGCTGACGTCAGGCGGCGTGGGCCCCACCCTCGATGACGTCACCATGGAGGCCGTCGCGCAGGCGTTCGGCACCAACCTCATCCGGTGGGTGCACAAAACCAGCGATCGTGGCGCTCCCCGCGCAACACACCCCAACACATTCCGCCTCTGACGCTCGGCAAGGCTTCTTGGCGAGGCGGTCCGGCTGGTGGAGCTCATTCCTGCTCCCACAATCTGCCCTGTTTCTGGCGCCGCCCGGCCGACTCGTGTTTCCAGGAACCCTGGGATCGAGGAGTCCTTGTCAGCATTCTTCGGGGATGACTTGACCAACGCACACCTGAAGATGGCCGAGACGCCCGTGAGTGGGGGACTCGGCAGGGGCGGCGCTAGGACGGAGCGCCCGGACGGGCATGCGTGCGACGCGGCGGCCTCGCGCAGCGAGGGTGCAGAGGGCCTGCACGGCCACAGCAGGCGCGCGGCCGTCTCCGGCTGCTCACCCTCGCCATTGGTGGAGTGCACCCCCTTGTTCAATGGAAGTGTTCTGCCACCTTTCACGCTTGACGCCCCCCC